TTTTTAGTGTGCATGGGGGCGGTGCTTACAATGTCATCATTATGTTTGGAGGATCTCACCAGTCAGGAGCCTTTCCTGTCATCCTACATGTTCCCTTCTGAGGATTGTTCTATCCTTCCAAACAAATGTATGAAATCATGGATGAGTCCTCCTTCTATGTGATCTAGAAGATCTTCAATCACAATGTCTTTATGGATGAAGTGGATGGCCCAGTTTATATATTATTTATTGCTTTACAGCTTTATTCCCTCCAGGATTCATTCTTTATTTATAGAACCATTCAAGGAAGTGTTCTTACTGTGAGAGATCTCCACCACCATTCCTCTGTGACCATTACATCCTTGTCATTTATGTCTAACATCTTCATTATCAGTGGATTGATAGATATTTTTATACTTTAAAGAATATTTTTACATTTTCTTCACCAAAAAGATTTGATTTCAGAGGGAATCTGTTTTAATTTGTTTTCTATATGTAATAAAATATCTTTGTTAAAGTGTTGGTTCCATAAGAACTAGAATGATTTGTTCTTCCTTATCTTGTGTTATATATGAATTTCCCTGGTAGCCGTGTAAGGCAGATATTTTACAGGAATGATTATTCAGGCTCCATTCACACCAATGCGTGTATGTTAGTACTTTTTGATTTTCAGAAACGCACAACAGTCCACTTAAATGGTTTCCTATGGGCCATGTTCACATCTAGGGCTTTTTTGAGCTGTGTTTTTTGGAAAGGGTCCGGGACTTTTTTTTAAAAGCAAAAAGCAGCATTTTTGCTACAATAGAGTTCAATGGAGAATCTGCTGAAATTGCATGGTAGTTGTGCATTTTTGCATTTTTATTCTGCCCAGCAAAAAAAAAAATTCACTTTGAAAAAAAAAAAAAAAAAACGCGCAAAACGCAGTAAAAACGTATCACAAACGTATCAACATGCAAGTGTACAATCCAAACGCACATGTTCCTGTATAAAAATGGCTGTGTGTATAAGTGGGTGCTGCAGCGACCGTCGGCTGGAACCAACAGAATCAGCGAGGGAGAATGTCACCAGCACACCGAGGATCACCAATATGGGGCCAAAAGTTTTAATGAACGATCACATAGTTACAGCAAGGCAATGTTTTGGAGACTCGCAGGACCCTTCCGTCACATGCCTGATGAAGGGGTCCTGCGAGACTCCGAAACATTGCCTTGCTGTAACTATGTGATCGTTCATTAAAACTTTTGGCCCATATTGGTGATCCTCGGTGTGCTGGTGACATTCTCCCTTACAAACATATCAAAAACATCAAAAAACTCAAAATGAACTGCGAAAAGCACTGCAAAAAGAACAAAAAGCAAACTGCCAAAGCTGTGAACAGAGCCTTACAGATGTTTCTCGGGGCTGCAGTTCCTCTGAGCTCCAGAAGGTGGTGATCTCACTTCTTCCCAGACAGGACTTCTCTATGGAAGACAGACAGGAAGTGATGTCAGTACAGACAGTGATGTCAGTTCGAAGTGGTTTTGAAGTAGAAAAGACGTACCAGAAGTGGCAGCAGAGGAGGTAATAAGATGTTATTTCCTATTTACACCCAGTAACCCCCCGTCATGTCCATCCTCTTCCTCCTTAGTCACGTCCGTCCTCTTCCTCCATAGTCACGTCCGTCCTCTTCCTCCATAGTCACAGTCCTCTTCCTCCATAGTCACGTCCGTCCTCTTCCTCCATAGTCACGTCCGTCCTCTTCCTCCATAGTCACGTCCGTCCTCTTCCTCCATAGTCACGTCCGTCCTCTTCCTCCATAGTCACGTCCGTCCTCTTCCTCCATAGTCACGTCCTCTTCCTCCATCACGTCCATGTCCTCTCCCTCCTCCAGTAGTCATCCTCTCCGTCAGTTCCTCTTCCTCCATAGTCACGTCCGTCCTCTTCCTCTTCCTCATAGTCACGTCCGTCCTCTTCCTCCATAGTCTCCGTCCTCCCATATACGTCCGTCCGTCCTCTTCCTCCTTAGTCACAGTCCGTCCTCTTCCTCCATAGTCACGTCCGTCCTCTTCTCCATAGTCACGTCCGTCCTCTTCTCCATAGTCACGTCCGTCCTCTTCCTCCATAGTCATGTCCGTCCTCTTCCTCCATAGTCACTGTGACGTCTTTTATCTCCAGCAGATGATGATACACACACATATATAGTGTGGGAACCCAGATGAACCCCTTCAGGGGCAGAACATTCCCCCACTTCCGGGGCCGGAACATTCTCCTCATTGTGGAGATAAATTCTAGTAATATGGTCCTCTAAACAAACAGCACTGACAATAAATAGACAAGACAAGGACCATCCTGACCATACATGGCCTACAAAGGGCAATGATGACACTACACAGGCAGCCAATGGGCAATCATTACACTATGCAGCCAACACAATGATGGAGTGCCGGGGTCAGGAGTATGGAGCATAGAGCCCCCTTACATTGCTGCTCAGGAGGAAGGAAACATTCCCCAGCCGGCCATGAAGAATATGTTCCATCATTGGTGTCAGAGGGAGGAGGGAAATACTGAGGGGGGAAGTAGAGAGAGCTGAGGGGTCTCTCTGAGGAGGTAGTGGGACTAAAAGAACTCTGGATCCTCTGAGGGTTTCCTGCATCTGAAGGACTCTGGGACCTCTGAGGTGGAGGAGTAGCTGAAGAACTTTGGGAGTCTGTTAGGAAGTAATAGGGCTGAACAACTCTGAGAGGTTAGTGGGGCTGAAGGACTGTGGGGGCCTCTGAGGGGGTATTCAGGCTGCAAGGCTCTGAGGTAAGAGGGGGGGGCTTTAGGGCTCATAGGAACTCTTGGTCTCTGATGGTCCTCCCACCCCACCTTCACTTACTTTTCTGACCTCCTTAAAGAAGATCTCCTGCCAGCACGTGTAGGAAGTCTTCACCTCACCATCTCACTGGTCAAGAATTGCACACAAAATAGAACAAAGAAGGACACTTGGTCCTTGGGGAGGTCTGTATGCATAGCATTAATGCTTAATGGGCGGACAGTCCAATACCTTCCCATACCACAGAATCTGGCAGTGCCCGGTGCTGGAATTCAGAGCCAGAAAAATCCACTGCCACTCTGTACAATGTCCTGGAAATGTCAGAATACTTGGCAACTAAGAGATCAAACCCTTCCCCCTGCTGTCCTCCTCCTACCCACACATAGAAGAGATGAGAACAGACTCCTCCCCACAGCTCTCTACTCCACCAGCACCATCCTCCTGCTATCCCAATCCAATCCCTTCTCTTACTGCAGAGAGTGACAGTGACATCACTCCTGTCAGTCAGCAGGCTGCTGGAGATTGGAGCCTTGCAGCCGGAGTTCTGCCAATTATCCTGATTATCCAGCAATTCCGCCAGCAAGTTCAAGTTCCCCTTCCTGGACATCATGATGAGCCGACATTGACCTCACAGCACTGCCTCAGAGCAAACAAGTCATAGGAAGGATCATATTTATCATTCCTTGTCTGCAGATCTAAAACTCATCAAAACCAGTTCAGAGACCAAACAAACCCAACAGAGAAAAGGGGATTTCTGATCTGCAGCAGGTCAAGAGGGTCCCGGGACCTTGAAAATTTTGTAAACCCTAAACAGTCCAGACTAAATGTCTTCCCATGGGGGGAGTAGTTCTTCAATGTCCAGCAACCCTCCTATTCCCCCCTCACATCCACATCCTATTATTGTGTGACCAATACCATCCAAATCATTCTTACTTTCATTTCCCAAAGTTATCCGTCTACAAGGAGACCTGTATAGATCACATGATGGCACCAATGAGGATGGAGGAGGACCGGAGTCACATGACTGAGAAGATACTAAAACCTCACCCTGGAGATCATCTACCTGCTGACCGGAGAGGTGAGGAGGATTCTGGGAGGTCACATGACATCACTCTCTCTCTATTAATAAAACACAGACCTGACCGGAGAGGTGAGGAGGATTCTGGGAGGTCACATGACATCACTCTTATCTCTATTAATAAAACACAGACCTGACCAGAGAGGTGAGGAGGATTCTGGGAGGTCACATGACATCACTCTCATCTCTATTAATAAAACACAGACCTGACCGGAGAGGTGAGGAGGATTCTGGGAGGTCACATGACATCACTCTCATCTCTATTAATAAAACACAGACCTGACCGGAGAGGGTGAGGAGGATTCTGGGAGTCTAACATGATATTCCTATTGGTTCCTCAATACAGAGATTTCCTCTTCTGAAGTCAGGTGATCATATGACCATCACAGTGCCTCCATGTGACTCCCTAAACCCTGAGAGACACAACATGCAGAAGATTCTAGAAGTCACCAAGAAGATGATGGAGCTGCTGACAGGAGAGGTGAGCGGTGCCGGGAATTCTGGGACATTCTCCAGTAACAGACAAGGGATGTGTCTGGATGGTGACTGTATCATTGTGTGTGTCAGGTTCCTATAAGGTGTCAGGGTGTCACTGTCTATTTCTCCATGGAGGAGTGGGAGTATTTAGAAGGACACAAGGATCTCTACAAGGACGTCATGATGGACAATCAGCCGCCCCTCACATCACCGGGTAAGAGGAGACTTTATTGTAAAGGAGAGAGCAGTACGGAGGATCCACCTAGATCCCCCATCATCTGATAAACACATAGAAACAATGGATTCAGTCAGTGTGTGTGTTTCCTACAGATGGATCCAGTCATGGGAACCCACCAGAGAGATGTCCCCGTCCTCTGTATTCCCGGGATTCCACACAGGAAGGTCACACCATCCCTCACCATCATCAGGTAGATGAGGACAATTATTGGTAGTTGTGATTTATACACAGCATGTTTGTTACAATGATGTTTTTTATTATATCTTTTCAGAGTGGAATCCTCGGGGATATAATATTGATGTTAAAGAAGAGTATAAAGAGGAGGATGAGGAGTAGGATGGAGTGATGGAGGAGTTTTCAGAAGGACACAAGGATATGATGGAGCCACCTAATACCAGGTAAATCCATTCCCACCAGAGAGATGTCCCCGTCCTCTGTATTCCCGGGATTCCACACAGGAAGGTCACACCATCCCTCACTATTACAAGGTTGGTGGGATGGAGCATCTAGAACATGGACTTGAGGAGACAATGTGTGGATTTTTTTATGTAATACTTATATATTTTTGTGAAATTTTCTCATTTCCTTGATTTAGAGTGGAGATCCAATCGATATAGAATTTGAGGTGAAAGCAGAAGAAGAAGAGGCGTATGTGAGGGATGATCAGCAGTCTATGGAGGAGGATGGAATAACGGGGACATTTATAGAGGAGGACACTCCTACAGAGATCAGCACAGGTGGGTCATGAACACTAAATCCATTCCTCCACCCATACTGCTCACTGATTGGTCCAGAGTAGGGCGGGGACTGGGTGATATCAGCCTGTAATCCCCTGGTCACTTTCCTGAGCTGTGTTCCCCGTCCTGTATTCCTGGATTTCTCTCGGATAATCTTCCTTCTCTGTGCTGCAGACACAATTTATGTCTCTAGACTGGATTTATGGAGGTTCTGGGGTTCAGCTGCAGCAAAATGTTCATTTTCACTATCTGCTCAACATTGCATTACCACCCAGGACATGTGAACTGGGGTTACTGTGCCTTGTGACCTGACTCCTCCAGGTGAGCCCAAGTGAACATTTCTCTGTGGTCTGCTGAGCTGCTGTCCGGGGGTGGGGATATGTCTGTAGTGTCTCAGACCCAAGTCACTGAGTGCAGTCTCAGGAGATGGGAGGCAGCGGTGTGGGATCTCTGCAACTTGTCTACAGTAAACATTTAAACTTCCACTGATGTACTGAATACCAATATTATGAGTCCTGACCCCTTATACTATACACCTCTTATAACTCTTTGTTCTACATTACATACTCCTGACCCCAGGCATGCCTCTATGTCATGCGATGAGTGATAGAGGGGGTGGGGACCCTCGTCCTATAATCCCCTCATCACTGTCCCTCCTATAAAAGACAGTTCTGGTTGTTTCCTCACTCTCTGACTAAGGTCCATGAATAAAGAAATGACCTGGTAGGAGATCAGAGAGCCATTTCCTAGTTCCCTTGAGGGTGGAATTGTAAGCTCCTCAGAGACCAAGCTGCCTGATGTGGGAGGAGTCCTGGTTTGGGGGAACCAATCAGCTCCTGTCTAGTAATCCTCTTTGTCTTTGTATTTTAGTCCATGGCTGGGAGATGAGGAAAACCTCCGAGGATTGTCTCACTTTGTCTCCAGACTGGAAAGTAGAAGATGAGGACATCACACAGTATAGTCCAGGAGAAAACCCGGCTCCCTCCAATGTCCATCCGGCACCACCCAGTGTAGATGGACCATCGGATTCCTCGTATCCTGAGGAACCTCAGACTGTGCGGGACCGGGCCAGCCTTCCAACAGGGAAGAGGTTCTCCTGTACAGAGTGCAGGAAATGTTTCCGTTTTGAATCCCGTCTTAATGTGCATAAAAGATCTCACATGGGAGAAAGCCGTATTCCTGTCCTGAGTGCGGGAAATGTTTTTCAGACAAGTACTGTCTTTACGCACATCAGAAATCTCACACAGGGGAGAAGACATATTCCTGCCCTGAGTGTGGGAAATGTTTTTCACAAAAGGCCCATCTTTACACACATCAGAGATGTCACACAGGAGAGAAGCCGTATTCCTGCTCTGAGTGTGGGAAATGTTTTTCAGAGAAGTCCAATCTTTTTGCACACATCAGAGATCTCACACAGGGGAGAAGCCGTATTCCTGTTCTGAGTGTGGGAAATGTTTTTCACAGAAATCAAATCTTTACAGACATCAGAGATCTCACATGAGGGAGAAGCTTTATTCCTGTCTTAAGTGTGGAAAATGTTTTTCAGTGCAGTCCATTCTTCAGAGACATCAGAAATCTCATACTGCGGAGAAGCCGCCGTATTCCTGTCCCTGAGTGTGGAAAATATTTTTCACACAAGTCCAGTCTTTACACACATCAGAGAATTCATTCAGGGGGAGAAGCCATATTCCTGTCTTGAGTGTGGGAAATGTTTTTCACACAGGTCCAATCTTTACAGACATCAGAGATCTCACATGGGGGAGAAGCCGTATTCCTGTCCTGAGTGTGGGAAATGTTTTTCACAGAAGTCCCATCTTTACAAACATCAGAGATCTCACACGGGGTAGAAGCAACTTTCCTGTCCTGAGTGAGGGAAATGTTCCTCACTGAAGTCCTGTCCTCCTGTACATCCGGGTTTCCACACAACCCTGGAGGTGTATTAGTGCCTTGAGTGCGGGAAATGCCTCCTAGATGAATTTTGCTGGACATCCCAGTCCTCATATGAGGAAGAAGCACACCCTGATGTACACACACCTGGGAAGGAATGGCACAAACAATTGGCACTTCCTACGTTGTCCCAAGTCTATGAAGATGAATGCTGATTAATATCACATAAAAGTCCCAATAAAATGCAGTGAATAAAACCGATGTCCGTCTGTGAGAGTCCATCTGGGGGGGACAAGCTTGTCCTTGGAGCAGACGCTGGCTGTCAGGTAAAGAAGACAAGTGGGGGAGTAAAAAGCCCCTCTAAGTGTAGCCCCCCTAATACATTTCTTGGTATACAAGGCAGGCCCCTCCCATAAAGTCAGAGTAAGCAGGCTCATCAGTAACACATCACCGAAGAACTCCAGAGTGATCGGTGTGTGCCGCTTTCTATGGGGGAGGAAGGTGGCCAGCAGACATCCCATATCTGGAAATCAGGGTTGTAATGCACTGTGGACCACAGTGCTAGCGTGATGACGTCACCTGGGTGGAATGCAATGCATTTCTGAGCATGTGCAATGTCTGTAACAGTCATGTGTGCTGCTTTGTCAAGGAGCTTGGAGATCTTCCCTGTGATGTGTTATTGATGAGCCTGCTTACTCTTGCTTGACTTTATGGGAGGGGCTTGCCTTGTATTCCAAGAAATGTATTAGGGGGGCTACACGTAGAGGGGCTTTTTCCTGCCCATTCTGACCCTCTGATATACACCTCAGATATACTCCATGGATGATCTTCATCATGGAAGAAACAGTTTAGCAGCTGGTCCTGATCACCACTTTACATCCTGATTACAGCTTTACCAGTGTGTCCTGATCACCATACCAGCGGATCCTGATCACCATACCAGTGTGTCCTGATCACCATACCAGCGATTCCTGATCACCATACCAGCGATTCCTGATCACCATACCAGCGGATCCTGATCACTATACCAGCGGATCCTGATCACTATACCAGCGGGTCCTGATCACTATACCAGCGGATCCTGATCACTATACCAGCGGGTCCTGATCACTATACCAGTGTGTCCTGATCACCATACCAGCTGGTCCTGATCACTGCCATACCAGTGTGTCCTGATCACCATACCAGCTTGTCCTGATCACTGCCATACCAGCGGGTCCTGATCACCATACCAGCGGGTCCTGATCACCATACCAGCGGATCCTGATCACCATACCAGCTGGTCCTGATCACCATACCAGCGGGTCCTGATCACCATACCAGCGGGTCCTGATCACCATGCCAGTGTGTCCTGATCACCATACCAGCGGATCCTGATCACCATACCAGTGTGTCCTGATCACCATACCAGCGGATCCTGATCACTATACCAGCGGATCCTGATCACCATACCAGCGGATCCTGATCACCATACCAGCTGGTCCTGATCACCATACCAGCGGGGTCCTGATCACCATACCAGGGGTCCTGATCACCATGCCAGTGTGTCCTGATCACCATACCAGCGGATCCTGATCACCATACCAGTGTGTCCTGATCACCATACCAGCGGATCCTGATCACTATACCAGCGGATCCTGATCACCATACCAGCGGGTCCTGATCACCATACCAGTGTGTCCTGATCACCATACCAGCTGGTCCTGATCACTGCCATACCAGTGTGTCCTGATCACTATACCAGTGTGTCCTGATCACCATACCAGCGGATCCTGATCACTATACCAGCGGATCCTGATCACCATACCAGCGGGTCCTGATCACCATACCAGTGTGTCCTGATCACCATACCAGCTGGTCCTGATCACTGCCATACCAGTGTGTCCTGATCACCATACCAGTGTGTCCTGATCACCATACCAGTGTGTCCTGATCACCATACCAGCTGGTCCTGATCCACCATACCAGTGTGTCCTGATCACCGCCATACCAGTGGGTCCTAAACACACCACCATACAGTGGGGTCCTAATCACCATCATACCAGTGGGTCCTGACCACCGCCATACCAGTGGGTCCTGATCACCGTCATACCAGTGGGTCCTGACCACCGACATACCAGTGGGTCCTGATCACCGTCATACCAGTGGGTCCTGACCACCGCCATACCAGTGGGTCCTGATCACCGCCATACCAGTGTGTCCTGATCACCATACCAGTGTGTCCTGATCACATATCACCATGTGTCCTGATCACCATACCAGCGATTCCTGATCACCATACCTAGCGGATCCTGATCACTATACCAGCGGATCCTGATCACTATACCAGTTGGATCCTGATCACCATATACCAGCGGTGTCCTGATCACTATACCACTCCTGACACCTATACCAGCGGGTCCTGATCACTATGCCAGTGTGTCCTGATCACCATACCAGCTGGTCCTGATCACTGCCATACCAGCGGGTCCTGATCACCATACCAGCTGGTCCTGATCACCATACCAGCGGGTCCTGATCACCATACCAGTGGTCCTGATCACTGCCGTACCAGTGGGGCCTGATCGCCATACCAATGTGGGTCCTGATCACTGCCGTAAAGCCAGTGGGGTCCTGATCACTGCCGTACCAGTGGGTCCTGATCACTGCCGTACCATGAGGGCCTGATCGCCATAAAAGGCCAGTGTGTCCTGATCGGCGACCATACTAGTGGGGATGCCTGATCACTGCCATACCAGCGGGGGCCTGATCACTGTCATACCAGTGGGTCTTGATCACTGCCCGGAGCAAGACCAGTGGGGCCTGATCGCCATACCAGCTATGGTCCTGATCACTGCGTACCAGTGGGGCACTGATCGCCATACCAGTGTCCTGATCGCCATACCAGTGGGTCCTGATCACTGCCAGACCAGTGGGGGGCCTGATCCACTCTGCCATACCAAGCGGGGCAGCTGAATCACTGTCACTGTCACCAGTGGGTCTTGATCACTGCCATACCACGGACCTCATCACCATTGATGCCAGCGGGTCCTGATCACCATACCAGCAGTGTCCCAATCACTGTCATACCAGTGGGAGGTCTTGATCACTGCCATACCAGTGGGGTCCCTGATCACTGCCATACCAGCGGGTCCTGATCACTGCCATACCAGCGGGTCCTGATCACTGCCATACCCAGACGGGTCCTGATCACTGCCATACCAGTGGGTCCTGATCACTGCCATTCTAGTGGGATCCTGATCACATACCATACTAGTGGGGTGGGGTGCCTGATTACCGCCATACTAGAGGGTCCTGATCACTGCCATACCAGTGGGTTTTGATCACTGTCATACCAGCTGGCCTTCATCCCCACCATCATCTGTGAGGTGAGAGAAGCCATTACAGTTGTTGAGTAGATTTCACCCCTTTGCACATAGTTCACACACACTCACAAAACATTGCCAGCCAGCTCACAGTATCCCGGGATCTTTGCCCAACAGTGTCTAGTGTGAACCAACCACACAGCCAGCCAACTCTGTCCCTCACTGCAGTGATGGGATCATACAGGCTGCTGTACACCAGCACCAATGTCCTGATTACTAAACCCACACAATCATCCTGATCACTGCCATACCATGTGGGGTCCTGATCACCACCCATGAGCGCTGGTCCTGATTACCGCGGTACCGGTGGGTTCCGTACCGGTGGGTGGGATAACTATCATACCGCTGATCACCATCATACCAGTGGGTCCCTGAATCACCATCATACCAGTGGGTCCCTGATCACCACCATATACCATTGGGTGCTGATCACCAAGCATACCAGTGGGTCCTGATCACCATCATGCCACAGTGGGTCCTGACCACCACCATACCATTGGGTCCTGATCACCATCATACCATTGGGTCCTGATCACCATCATACCAGGTCTGGACCACCACCATACCAGTGGGTCCTGATTCACCATCCATCATACCAGTGGGGGTTCCTGATCACCGCCATACTAGTTGGGATCCTGATCACCATCATACCAGTGGGTCCTGACCAACCACCATACCATTGGGTCCTGATCACCATCATAAACCATTGGGTCCTGACCAGCACCATACCATTGGGTCCTGATCACCATCATACCAGTGCGTTCTGGACCACCATCATACCAGTGGGTCCTGACCACCACCATACATTGGGCTCCTGATCACCATCATACCAGTGGGTCCTGACCATCCACCATACCATTGGGTCCTGATCACCATCATACCATTGGGTCCTGATCACCATCATACCAGTGGGTCCTGACCACTGCCATACCCATGGGTCCTGATCACCACCATACCAGTGCGTTTCTGACCACCATCATACCAGTGGGTCCTGACCACTGCCATAGACCAGTGGGTCCTGATCACCACCATACCAGTGTGTTCTGACCACCATCATACCAGTGGGTCCTGACCACCACCATACCATTGGGTCCAGATCACCATCATACCAGTGGGTCCTGATCACCGCCATACCAGTGGGTCCTAAACACCACCATACCAGTGGGTCCTAATCACCATCATACCAGTGGTCCTGACCACCTGCCATACCAGTGGGGTCCTGATCACCGTCATACCAGCGGGTCCTGACCACCACCACCATACCAGTGGGTCCTGGTCACCACCATACCAGTGGGTCCTGATCACCGTCATAACCAGTGGGTCCTGATCACCATCATACCAGTGGGTCCTGATCACCGTCATACCAGCGGGTCCTGATCACCGTCATACCAGTGGGTCCTGATCACCATCATACCAGTGGGTCCTGATCACCGTCATACCAGCGGGTCCTGATCACCACCATACCAGTGGGTCCTGATCACCGTCATACCAGCGGGTCCTGACCACCACCATACCAGTGGCAACAATATGTCCAAAAAATTATATTCCCAGGCAAGCACCAGCCCTCTCTTGGCAGGGAAGATTGATCGAATATACACTTACTGTCCCATGTACCAACA